CTCCCCGCCCGCCCCCGCCGCCCGGACGGGGCTGCGCTCCGGCGGAGCCTCAGCAGAGACGGCGCGGCGGCTCCGAGCCATGCGATGCGCTCCGCGCCCGGCAGCCGGGCCCTTCCCGCGGGACGGTACCGCTCGGGGACTTAAAAACTCTTGTGGATACAATGAAGTGGCTCTGGGACTCTTGGTTTAGCAGGAAAAATTAAATAAACCAATGTAAGTTTCCTCTTTTTTTGTTTGCTTGTTAATAAAATAATAATAAAGGAAAAAAAAAAAAAAACGGAAAGAAAGAGAAAAAAAAAAAAGCCAAAAAGACTGTGAGCGTGGCGTGGAGGAGGAATTTGGTATTTCCTTTCCCCAAACTTTCCCCTCGAGGCGGGAGGAGCAGCGGCACCGGCACCGCGGCCGTCCCGTCCGGGCAGGGTGGTGGGGAGGCTGGAGGAGAGAGAAGTTAGATCTGTAAAGCTTGCGAGGGGATGGAAAAGCAGAGGATACAGATAGACATATATTTTGCTGCTGAAGGGTAACTCTGGCGGGGAATGGGTCTAGTTTCCGTCTCGCTTCCGCACCCAGAAGTGCCGGAAAAGAAATAACAACACAGAAAAATACTCTGCAAATTGTTTGGTTAATGTCATGTGGCGCCAGATGTGTCGGAGTGGAAATTTAGTGGCACGTTTTTGCAGGGAAGAAATGAACTAGAATGGTTATTTCTGTGCTGGCAGGGAAAATATGTCACTCTCCTGTATCATGAGAATATTACCGGTATTACTTGTTGTAAGAGCTGACATGTCTTAAGTATATATCTTAATGGCACCGCTCGCCTCAAAGCTGTTTGTAGAATGCATCTGCTTAGAAGATCTGGAGTTTTTACTGGCACAAATTAAAAACTGGAGTTGGCTTACGCAAATAAAAGAAAAACAGGGAGAGCTGTGCTTGTGCTTCACTCCGGCAAGGTGATCATGGTTGTACCGAGGCAGCCCCGAGGGGAACAGTGTCATACTGGGAGCACTGCAAGAGAGAACGACAGCTAAATTAAAGCAAAACTTATGTGACCAAAGTGTGGCTGCAACGGGAATAAATCAGAGCTTTTTGGTTTATTTTTTCTTGGAGATTTGGGTGAGGAGGTGGAGATGAGCTTCTAGAAAGCGGAGAAACAAGGGAACCATGCGCACCTCTGGCAACAGGTCGTGTTTTGCCCGGAGAGGATGAGCTGAGCTTTGTGAGTGATAGACCAGAGCCTTTCCAGTTGCAACTGGGGCAGCTTCTGGTCTTGCAGTCGGGTGTCAGATCTGGAGCTGGTGGCCCCGATTTCTCCCACCGCCGGGCTGGCGAGCAGCTCTTCCCCAAATACAGGGCGGATGGTGGAATAAACGCGGACGATTCAAAGAGGATTTGTCAATACTAAAAATAAACAGGCCCGCAGATGTGTCCCGGAGGGTCATGTCCAGGCGGAGCATTTTCAGGGCCGATTTCCCGATTTCGCCATTTTCCGTCCCCGTGTCCTGTCCAAGGTGCTGAAGTTCTTTTATTTTTGCTGCGATTTCCGAGGATTTGGGGGCTTTGCAGAAGTGGTCTTGGAGGCTTCTCCTCTCGTTTGAAACCTGTGGGAAGGAGGGGGAGAGAGGGAGGGGGGGTCGCCCCCTGGGTGGTACGAAGTGAAAGCGGGGATGTGTTTTCAGACACGTATATTTGATCCGTCCTTTTGGCGTGGGAAAGCAGGCCAGGTGGAGCCACAGATGGATCCGGCAGATCCTATAAGCTTTTGGTGGCAGAGAATTGGAAAGGTCAGAGCTGTGAAGCAGTGAGGAGCGAAACCCCCTTATTCTAATGGACTAAGAAAGTGGTGGTTTTATGAGTGTTGCTGCTGTTGGTAGGAGTGCATTGCCTCCGATGAGAGAGCTGGTTCCAAAAAAGTTTAGAGGAGCTCAGTGTCAGGACGGGACAGGAATGATGCAAACGGGATTGGAGTGATGTCCACTGATTTTGGTAAATTTTTATTATTTTTTGTCTGGTGTAGCCTTTTCAAATGGCAAATGGGGTTTACATAGAGCTTCAGAAATAGAGGGTCCTTAGAAAAAAAGCACATCTGTTGGGGGCAAGTGTCTCAACATTTAAGCAATGGAAGCCTGTCCTGCAAGTTGTGATATTTTTAGATTAATGTGCCAAAAGGTCTCAGCCTTAAGTAGTGGAGTTTATGTAACCTTTAGCATGAGACAGAGCCAGAAATAATCATAGATGAATGTTACTTAGCTTGTACGTGATTGCAGTTGGATGTTGTAACGTTTTTTTCTCAGTTCTTGACATACATTCTGAATCCATTCATAGTACAGCTTTGTACTTCTGTGTCTGAGACTCTCAAAGGGTTTTATAAACACAAAGGGTCAGATTCTAATGCCCCTGTTTGCATGGAGAAGTAGTTTGTGCTGTGATGAGTCCTGAAGATTTAAAGCAGGCAAAAAACCCTGTACAGTATGCTAGAGAACTGATATTGTTTCATACCCTCGATCATTCGTCAGAGCTCACGAAGGCATTCGGTTGCATCATTGAGTATGTAGCCTAAATACCTTGACCATGAAGGGTGCAAGTAGACCACGAGGCTTCCTGACCCTGAATGACAGCTTATGGGTATGACTTTAAAACTGCATCAGAGTTGAAAGCATTGTATTCCTGGTTTGAATCAGAAACTGGCCTTGGTTCTCGCTGTGATGGACTAACACCTGTGGCACCAGCTAACACCTCCCAGGACTTTCACAGGCTGCAGAGAAATGTTGAGTAGTTGTTGTGTTCTTGATTTAAATGTGTAGTCAAAACTATATTTTAAAATGTACAGGTAGGAGATGGCATCCTGACAGGCATAAGAGATTTATGAAATATAGCTAGTTTTAATTTCTTTAAAAAATGCTATGTATGATATTAGTCAGGGATTTACTTTTTTCTTTTTTTCTTATTTTTTTTCTTTTTCTCTTTTTTCTTTTTATCTTTTTTTTTCTTTTTTCTTTTTTTGTTCTGGGCATGTATGTGAGGAAAGAGCATTTTGGGTTCTGTATTAAAGCATGTTGGGCAGTCATTCAGAAATCCTGGTCATCTTTTTCAGAAAGAACAGGTTATTGTCTTTTATCACCTCGGATGCCTTAGTTTTGGGAAGCTCAATTTGAAAAACATAAAAGAGACCTGTTGTTTTCAGAGGATGGGTGCTCGGTTCTTCCTCAAAATTACTACCTTCTAAGTTGTCTCCAATCTTCCTCAATAATTACTTTAGGAAATTATAGCTGTGATAGTTAAAAGGTGACAAGTAATTTTTCAGTTCTACTAAATAAAACTCAGGTATCACAGAAGCAGCATCACTCTTAAGTGTATGCTTGACTTCTCTGCTTTGTGTTTATATGCTGCCTTAAAGTAGGGCCTTACTCATAGTATGAAACAATTTATATTTGAAATTCTGTAATTGCTTCTTACTTTTATTGTCTAACCTGGAGAAAAATACATGAAATTGGGTATATTCCTGTTTGCTTATAGTGAGTATCTCTTCCACAGTGGCAGTTCAGTTAAAGACATGTTTATCTTTTAAATACCATCGTCCTGATGAATATCTACCAAAAGAAAATTCGGACTATATGTCTATTGATCTTGATTTATTATTTACTCTGCACACCAAACTGATGGGCCCACTTTGACACGGCTCTGTCTCTTTGGGTTTCTCTTGCAAAGTGACAGTTTCTAATTCAGGAAGGAAATCAGGTCACATTTCTGGCTCTGCAGGATTTATCTCATTGCTCTTCTTTCAAAGTAATTAGAGTTACTAATAATGAGGAAAAGAAAACTTTTCCAGAACTGGAATGTCCCTAACCCCTCTCTCCTTCTTGTGGTTTTTGTGTCACTGAAGAGATACAGGTAGTTGACAAAGTTTGCTGTGGAAGATCCTTTTGCTCCATTATCCAGACAGTGACTTCTTTTAAACTTAGCTGCAAGTGGTATGGTCACTCTTATAAATGTACCTTCTTTTCCTTAGATTAATAATGCTTCCTCATTTATTTCCCACTCGTTCTGGGATGGTGTTAGGTCTGGCTCTGGGCTGCTCAGTTGCAGCGAGTGAGATCCCAGATTTCAGCCTGGGAGCAGAATGAGGAGATGTTTAGCAAAGTCATCCCCTATCCCAGTCCCTGAGCAGGCTGAGGACAGGGTAGACACACTGGGTTTGTGAAGTTCATGTAGTACTGGCTCTCATGATCACTGTTTGTACCCCTCTGTTTTAGGTTTCTTACCATTCCCAGTTGGTGGAGGTGTATTTCAAGTAAAGGTGGCAAACGAACCACGAAATTTCCCTCTCTGCTAACGTGGTCAGCTTTGAGGAGGTGCAGCATGGCCTCCTGAGAGGAGGTCACCTCACCTTGCGAGTCTTTGGTGTGCAAAATTTTCATTGATGTCAAAAAGATCCCTTATCTTTCATGGCAGAAACATGCCTCCCTGCTCTTTGTAACAAACGAAGCCTTTTTTAATCAAAATTCTGCATGACAGAAGCGGCTTGTTTTTTATTTTTATCATAATATTGCAAGAGCATTTTAAATATAGAGATATCACACATCAAATAATAATGTTGTACTGAAATGTGTGGAAAATTTAAATTCTGTTAAGCCTTGAGTTTTCCCTTTGCCTTCTCGTATTTTATTTTAAAATGAGACTATCTTTTCTATCTTGGAAAAAAAATAAGTCCATTCTTTACCAGATTATTTATTTCAACTTTCATCTAGATTTGAGTTTTCGGGTTCACTAAACTTCTGCCATAGAGGTTTCCTACTGCAATGCTGAGAGTCCTACCAACAGGTTATAGAGTCTTTTTAAAGCTTGCTGGATTCCTAGAGTACTAAAGCTGCTCTGCACACAGGGTATAATTTGAAAGATATCTGCAAATTGTGCTTTGCTAATTTTAATCCAACTCTGGGATTAGTATGTGTTATTTAAAAAAGTCTTACTGATGCCAGGTTCATGTTTAAGTGCATAAAAGTTTGGTAACTGAACGCAGACCATGGGCAGGAGTAATGTGTATGTGTTAGAAGCAAGGAGTTTCTCTTCATATTCATGGCATTTACAGGCTGATATTGACAAATAAATCAGGTTCTGGGGTTTTGAGGAGGGACTTGCGGGGTTTATATGTTGTTTTTAAAGGCTTTAGAGAAACTTGAAAAATCTCAGCAATAGAAGTTATGGAAAAATTTGAG